TGGGGGGACGGGAGCCCAGGCGTCCGGGGCCCCGCTCCCCTCCCAGCGCGGGGAAGGCCTGGGCTCCAGCCCCCTGCTTGCACCCCCAGCCTCCCTCCCCTCCCAGCGCGGGGAGCGCCCGGGCACCTCCATCTTGGTCTGGATCCAGGGCCCGATGATGTTGGCCTGGGCAGCGAACTGACGGCGGAGGCGCTCGTTGGCTTGTTGCCGCGCCAGCTCCTCCTGCAGCGTCTGGTCGCGGTGCGGCACCAGCTGCTTCACCTGGGGGGCGAGACGGGGACGTGAGGGCGAGCGCGCGCCCCCCCACCCCCCGGCTGTAAGACGGACAGCCGGGGCACGCTGCGGTGGGCTGGGACAGGTCGGGGCACGCTGGGCTGTGTCAGGCCATGTCAGGGCGTGCTTATGGCATGTTGGGCCGTGCCACGGCGTATTAGGGTGTGTCAGCGTGGGGGGCTGTGATGTGTCATGTCAGGGCGTGTTGGGCTGTGGCATGTCGGGCCATGCCGTGGTGTGTTGGGGTGTGTCAGGGTGTGTTGGGCCGTGATGTGTCATGTCAGGGCATGCTGGGCCATGCCTGTGGTGTGCCGGGCTGTGCCCGTGGCATGTCGAGCCGTGCCGGGCCTCACCGTGTCCCACTTGGAGGCGATGTCGAGGTGGGACAGGGCGCTGTAGGGGTTGCCGGCACTGAGCTTGATGCCGTACGTCTGCGCGATCTTCTGCACCTCGGCCTGGATACCGGCGATGGCCGCGCGCTCCTTGTCGGCCTCGGGCAGCGTCGCCTTGAACTGCTCATGCGCCGTGATCAGGGTCTGGCGGGTGCGGGTGGCGCAGGGTGACGGGGGGACCCAGGCGTGCGGGCTCCAGCCCCCTGCTCTCGCCCCCAAGCCCCCCTCCCCTCCCCTCCCAGCACTGGAGGGACCCAGGTGTCCTCACGCCCGCACCTGGATCTCCTCGATGCTGTGCACGATGAACATGTCCTGCAGGTCCTCGCTGGCGCCGTCCAGCCAGTTGTTGAAGGGGGCGGCGCGCTTGGCG